ATGGTCCCGGAGCTCAACCAAAATGGCACAAAGCAAGGGCCAAAGAAGCCTTAAGAGGGGTCAAATGACCCCAAAGCTTGAAACACCCTTAGAAACTACTTAGAGCAAGTAAAAACACAACTTTTATATGTTATACACTAAGCTCAAAAACAGATGCAAGATAGGTAAATAAGCTATGCAAAAATGGGAGAAAAGGGACAAGTTTCTTACCCTTGTAGACCCTCTTCACAAATGGTGGACCAGCAGTCTCCTTAGGTCCAAACCAGCTTCAAAACTTCAAAAACAACCCTCTAGAACCTCAGTTCCAAGAGAAAGGTGTAGTAGTAGGTGTTTGTGTACAAAACTAAGGCTTAAACACACACAATACAAGAGAAGAAGAGATATAGATATAGGATAGATATAAAAACCCTAAACCTAGAGCCAGAGCTTCTCTAACAATGTTTTCTCTAACCTTAATGCCAAGAGAGGAAGCCTCTTCTTATAGGCAACTCCCTCTTGTAAGGCTTCCAAAACAAGCCATCCAAGAGGGAAATCCCTCCATACACGTGTATGGAGGGGAACAGAGTGGGTGCCAGCTATCACAGCTGGCACAAAATATCTACTAAAAGTAGATGAACAGTGATCGGCCATTCAAAATTGCCATTTTGGCAAAATAAATGGCCGACCGGCAATATACATTGCCGATGGCATAAAATCACTGACCGGTGGCCTCAAGCCATGGCCGGTGATGTGTGGAGATGCCTCACAAGGATCCTTCTGCAAATCGTTGCAACGGCCGTTCTCCTAGATACAGAGAGGCTTCAACTTCAAAAACCGTTTCGCATGGACTTGTTACACTTTTACCCTTTGAGAGGCTCGCTGGGCCGAAAACCTGGAAGAGCGACCCCGGCAAAAGTTAGAGCAAGAGAAAAATACAAAAAAGAAGAAGCAAAAAATGCAAAAGAAAAGAAAAAAGAAGAAGAAAAGAAAAAAAAAAGAATGAAAAGATACCAAAAAAAAAAAGAAAATGAAAAGAAGCTCGCAAGGTCGAAAGCCCGCATCGGGCACCTTGGCAAAAATTAGAGCCTAAAAAGTGAAGGTTAAAATACCCGAGTGTACCTTAACCGGAACTACGTAAGGCTTGATTCCCATGTTTGGGATACGTAGGCAACTTTATCCTGAAGTCCAGCCCTCAACGCTTTCATAGCGCCTCAGTCCATGTAATGGTTTTGATCATCCTTGCCTTCTCCAAATCCGATAGTTCGGTTGTGACAACCGGATACATAGGCAACTTCGTCCTGAAGTCCAGCCCTCAACACCTTCAAAGTGATTGTGTCCATATATTGGTTATGACCGTCTTCGTCATCTCCGTGTCCAAGAGTTCGACCATCACCAATGAAGACTGTTTGCGGACTGCTGCGGCATCATCCAAACAAGGGGCAACTTTCCGTTGCCATGATGTGTCGTGAGTCGCCGTTCAAACCAAGGGCAACTTTCCATTGCCATGCAGCCCCTCCAAGCCAGGGGTAATTTTCCATTGCCTTCGATCCGAGGTTGTGCATCTCGAGAATGAGTTCCGCGCTCGTTGGGCGGCGGCCATTTACAAAAATAGTTTTTGAGAATTTTTACTGAGGTTGACCATTTTCTCAAAAATTATTTCATTTTCCAAAACTGAACCATTTTCTTGGACCCAAAAAGGAAAATTTTCAGTGCTTATAGTCTGACTTGCATGGTTTTCAAATCAAAAATCGAACAAGTACGTTAATCCGACTCTCATCTTGATCAAAACTGTTTTAGTAGAAAACCAAAACAAAAAATGGTCAAAATGAACTAGGGGCACAGTTGAGTCAGGCGTTCTGTCTTTCCCCCGTCGTCAACATACTTGCCAGGAGGGCACTCTACCCACCAGAAGAAATAGCTGTGAGCTAACAGCATTGGGCATGAACCCGCAACTTCCTATTCATTCATCAATCACCTCGGGGAGGGACGAAAAATGAGAGAATAAAGAATAGAGAGGTGTAAGTTGAGAGAAAAAGTTTAAGAAAAAGGGTTTGAGAGAAAAAAACGAGCCTGAGGGCCGAGTGATGTGAGAATCACAAATCAGAAAGGGTGGGAAATGTACCCGGAGGAACTGGCTCCTCGAAATTTGAGGTCTTTCGTTGAACATGTCCGCGCGTCGTGTCTTTCATTTTGATCACCTCAACTTTTGTTTTA